GAGTGATTATTTCAGAACTGTCAGGTTCTGGAAAGTGGGGATCAGCAGATATTTCATCTCTGAAAGAGACCTGTGAAAAATTCCAACAGCATTTTTCCAAATGAGATGATTCAGTGCATAGAGCGATGTACGGACTTGATTGGATTCTAGCTTCTGCAGTGTAATTAGAAATACGAACTTTCTCTCCCACAAAGCAGGATTGGTAAGAGAGGAGAAGGAGCCCACTTGTCACTGCTTATTTAACTCTTGGGTTGCTACTAGAATTTTTTTTTAAGTCAGGGGTGGGGGGAGAGACTGAATTCAGGAAGGAAGTACAGAGCACACCACACACAGATAGGAAGACTATTTTTTCTCCAGGCTTTGTCAATACAGTTGGTTGACCTTTAACTGGTAAACATTGATATGACTCTTAAAAGCTGTTACTCTCTGGATGAGTAACTAGTGTCCAAGTCATCTCCTTGCCTACCAACATTATTTCCCTACCCTATGGAGGTTTCTCCCTGGTTATTTCAGGGATAATGGGTAGCAGGGGGCCCTGGATACTGATTGCATATCACAGCAATGTTTGACCTAAGTGGTCAGTGACTTAAAATTGCTAAATATTTTGGATAAAAAAGCTGGTTATTGGCTTGGCGCCTGTGGCTCAAGCAGCTAAAGTGCCAGCCACATACAACTGAGCTGGCGAGTTCAAATCCAGCCGAGGACCTGCCAAACAACAATGACGGCTGCAACCAAAAAATAGCCAGGTGTTGTGGTGTGTGCCCGTCGTCCAAGCTACTTGGGAGGCAGAGGCAAGAGACTCGCTTGAGCCCAGGAGTTGGAGGTTGCTGTGAGCTGTGATGCCAGAGCACTCTACTGGGAGTGACAGCTTGAGGCTCTGTCTTAAAAGAAAAAGAAAAAAGCTGGTTGTTTTCTCTGTATGTGCATATACTGGGTCATAATATAAAATATATTTATTCCTGTCAGTCACAAGAAAAGGAAAGTTTGGCTCAGCACCTGTGGCTCAAGTGGCTAAGGCACCAGGCACATATACCTGAGCTGGTGGGTTCGAATCCAGCTGGGGCCTGCCCAACAATGACAGCTGCAACCAAAAGAAAAAAAAGAAAGAAAGAAAGAAAGAAAAAAATAGCCGGGCGTTGTGGCTGGTGCCTGTAGTTCCAGCTAGTTGGAGGTTGCCGTGAGCTGTGATGCCAAGGCACTCTACCGAGGGCGACAGCTTGAAACTCTGTCTCAAAAAAAAAAAAAAAGAAAGAAAGAAAAAGAAAGTTTGAAAGCCCCTAGGCAATAATGAGTATCAGATGAAACCTTTTTAGACCAAATGCTTCCTCAGAGAAAAGACCACCCTGGCAGTACTGAGTATCGTGTTGAATTTATATTCATACTGTTAAAGAGAAAAAAAAAGTTCAGGCAGCGCTTGTGGCTCAAAGGAGTAGGGTACTGGCCCCATATACCGGAGATAGAGGGTTCAAACCCAGCCCCGGCCAAAAACTGCAAAAAAAGAAAAAGAAAAAAGAAAAAAAAATTCATGATACTTGTTAAAGATAGTAATTCAGGGAAGACTATGGAGATAGGTATGTGGACCACTGCAATGGGGTCTTGCAATGGGAAAGATTGGATTCAGTTATGAATACAAGGATAAGTAGAGATCTGTATCCAAGTAGTAGGGTGAGTCAGTGAATGGAAATTTAGTAAAAGAAACATCCTGGATAAAAGGGAGGAGGGTGACTAAAGCACTTTGACAGGACTATTGCTGAAGGCATGCCAGGGTGATAAGGAATCTGATAAGATAAGATAATGTGCATGATAGGATACTAAGGGCGAGGGATTTTGCCTGACCCAGCAGGATTCTTGCTAAAACTGGACTAAATGGGCAAAGCCACTATACTAAAGACAGAGCCCAAGGTCAGGAGCTGGTCAGAAAGAGGACTCAAGTTTGAGCAAAGAAAGAATCTTTGTCAAAAATTACCTCATATAGCAAAACTGTCTTTCCACTTACTGTAGTGATATAAGCTTCTCTTCTTAAGCAATTGGTTTAACTCAAAATATTAAGTAAATCATAGTACAGGTAGTACACAGCTTAAGTTAGGAAGAAAGTGTGGTAATGATTGTACTCTTGGAAATTTCTTATCTAGCTAAAACTTCCATTATACAGATAAGAAGATATTGGGGCCTATGAAGCGATTAATTTGTCACCTGCTCTAGGTTTCGTGGATCAGCCAGAGTCTCAGTCAGCCCAGGCTGCCATACCAGAATAACACAGAAGGAATGGCTTATAAACAAAAGCAATTTATTTCTCACAGTTCCAGAAGCTCAAGTCTGAGATTAGGGTGCAAACACAAGTCAGTTCTGGTTAGTGCCCTCTTCTGGGCTGTTGATTGCCTCCTTCTGGTGGTACTATCAAGTGGAGGAGAGCAGAGGGAGTGGAAGCAATGCCTCCTTTGACCCTTCCAAGGTCATCATCCCATTCCTAAGAGCTCCAAGTTCATGACCTCATTTCATCCTAATTTTCTCCCCAAGACTCTACCTCCTACAACTCCTACAACATCACGGGGGTCAGGGCACTGTCTCAGTTACAGTTTCAACATGTGGGGGTGGGGAACACCAACATTTTAGTATGTGGGCTTTTTATTTTTATTTTTTTTTTGAGACAGAGCCTCAAGCTGTCCCCCTGGGTAGAGTACTGTGGCATCACAGCTCACAGCAACCTCCGACTCCTGGGCTCAAGCGAGTCTCCTGCCTCAGCCTCCCAAGTAGCTGGGACCACAGGCGCCCACCACAATGCCTGGCTATTTTTTGGCTGCAGCCGTCATTGTTATGATGGCCCGGGCTGGATTCCAACCCGCCACCTTAGGTATATGTGGCTGGTGCCTTAGCCACTTGAGCCACAGGCACTGAGCTAGTCTGTGGGCGTTTGATCCACCATGATAAAAGCAGTGCTTCTAAATTTGCTTCCTGGATACCAGCATTACTCCTCATCTACAGGGTGCAGATTATTTAGGACTTTGTAGATCCAAATGAATGGATAAGCATTATTTTTTTGGTTTAGAGTCAGTGACATTGCCTCTCAGAAATAGGTTTTCTAAGGCAAGAAAACTATAAGGACTATGTCCCAATTCATAAGACTGCAAAATGTCTTCCTTCATTCATCATGGTGCATGAGGGAGGAGGGACGTGCAGATGGGGTGGGGTGTGTTTGTGCTGAGGACACACAGTATATCCATAAATGTAAGAAGCACGTTAGAGCTTTTTGTACATGTACTGTACATGATGGGGGAAAGCAGGTTATCTAAGGATTTTCAGCTAATTTCATAAGATGGAGTAGACAATACTATGCAATTCTTTATTCGAATTGCTTTGTCTTGCTGCAAAGCTCTGTCAAGGGCTGATGTTGCAATTACCTTAACAAGCAAAGGAAATGTCAGTCAAGTTCAGCACCTGGTACCTCCACACACTTGCAACCTGTTAGGCCTCCGAGTAGGAGGCAAAAATGCCCAAGGCTGCGTGTGGAACCCAGGTAAAAAGGGAGTGGATGGCTTTGAGCCTCTGTGTGTAGTGATGTCTTGTCCCCAAGGCCAGTATTTACATTAGGGATCACTTCTACCTTTGGTACACTTAATCAGGCTCTCATTATATGCCTTGACATCACACCGATTTCAGGACTTTGGAGGAAAGAAGACTGCTTAAGTGCATTTGACAATAAAATGCTTTGTGGAACCAGATGTGAATTTCCCCCGCCCGATAAGCGTATGCTAAAGCATGAACGGACTGACCCACAGGGAGCTAGGCTTTTCTTCTCATGAAACCTTTAAGAATAAGAAGTCAGGCAGGCTATTCGGTAAAATACAATGCCAGCCTAGAAGGCAAGTCATTGCTCTGCATCAGCAGTCAGCCAGAGACAACTAATAAAAATGGAAGATCCTTCTCTGTGACAAAACAGGCCTGGGACTCAACGCGGGAGGCCTAAGCAAGGAAGGTGAGCAAAGAAAGGTAAAGCTAAGGCTTTGCTTCAAGAAGCCGGGTTCATTCAAACCCTGAGGACAGCAGACCCCGCCTCCCCACACCGCCGCCCGCTCAATCGCGGAGCGCTCCGGGTGTGAGCTCGCCCCGCGGGGAGCGGCTTGGAGCCGAGGAGGCGGTGGCAGAGGTGGTTTGGGCAGCCCCGCGCGGCGGATAGGCCCAGGCAACCAACACCCATTCCCCCTCCCCCTCGCTCAGTTCAACTCCCACTCGGCCCCGGCCACGCCCTGCCGCCACCGCCCCCTCGGGCAGCTTTCCGCTCGGCGGTCGGGCCTGGGCCGTGGGCGGGAGGGAGGCGGTGCCTTGCAGGGGCGGCCGCGGCCGCCAGAAACTACAGGCGCCGACAGCCTTTGCGGCCTCGCCCCGCCCCCTTTCTCCCACCACTCAGAGCGCGTCACCAGGGGCTCAGCCAATGGGGAGCGAGCCAGGGAAAAAGGGCGCCCGGGTCCGGATGCGCCTCAGGAAAGCCATGCTCCCTGCGCGGGGGCAGCGGGCAGTTCACTCGGCGCGCAGAGCTGTCCGTGGCCCGGGCGCGCCTACATCCGCCCCTCTCGCTTGCTTTGAGCGACGGCCCTAATTTTTTTCTTTAGTGGCAATTCGAGGAGATGCCGGAGCCGGATTTTGAGTGGAGGGCGCTGGGAAATGAGTAGGGGGCGGGATATCCTGAGACAACAAGTTTGGCTGTATGGAAGGCCTACCGGCAGCGCGCCCAACCTAGAACGCCGAGAGAAAGAGAGCGAGAGGAGCCGAGGAAGGCAAAGAAAAGCTGCCAAAAGAATAACCCCGAGAAAGGGGGTGGAGAGGAGGCGGCCCCAGCGCCCCGGCCCCCGGCAGGTCGGCGGCCAATCCGCTGGGGGAAGGGGTGGAGAGTCGGCGGCTCCGGCGGAGAGAGGCCGAGGGGGGTGGGGAGTCATCCCGGCTCGCACCGCCCTGGCCCCGCCCCTGGCCCGCGCCGCCGCCCGCGCCGCTCGCCGCCGCTGTCAATCAAGAGCGAGTCAGCCGGGCTCGGGCGGAGAGAGGAGCTGCTACGCCACAGCCCAGCGGCGGCCATTCGCGGAAAAAGAGGCAGAGCCTGTGCCAGCTACAGCCTCCTCCGAGCCACCGCGGGCGGGCGGGACCGGCCTCTCCTCCTGCCTCGCCCCCACCCCCACCCACCTCTATCCCAGTGTCTCCGTCTGAGGGTTTGTCCTGTTAATGCGGGATGAGCGGTACGTATTCTCCACCCCCCTCGGTCTCCTTCACCGCCTCCCTCCCTCCCTCCCTCCCCAGACCCTGCTCGGTTCTCCCCCTCCCCCGGGGCCGCTGAGATGCTTTAAGGGGAGGAGGAGAGGGAGGGAGGGAATCAGGGGGAGGGAAGGAGGGTTGTGTTTTGTCTTAATGTCTGAGAGAGAACAACCTCCTTCTGGGTGTTGCTCTGGAGCCGATGGGTCGGGTTTCAAACCACGTTTTGTGATATCCCCCTCCTCCCTTCCCTCCTTCTCCCCCACCCCCTGCCGGTGTGCGTGGATCGCGGGTTTATGGAGATTAATGTTCGGGGGGAGGGGGAAGAAGAGGAGAGGGGGAAGACGAATAATAATAATCCTAATAACCTGTTGTCGTGTGTGTATGGGGGGGTTTGTTGCAGATCAGAAGAAGGAGGAGGAGGAGGAGGCGGCAGCGGCAGCCGCGATGGCTACAGAAGGAGGGAAAACCTCTGAGCCAGAGAATAACAATAAAAAACCCAAAACCTCAGGCTCCCAGGTAAAAACAGACATTAAAAAAATTCATCACGATACATTAGGAGAGAGAGGGAGTTATGCCCTTTAAATGTCCAGAAGTAAAGAACAGAATAAAAATGTTTATGCACTCAAAGCACTTTTCTGAGAGTGAGGACCTTAAATTGTAAATTCATGAAGGTTTCACGTATTTGAGGGCATAATATAGTTTAGAATTATATCAGGAACTCAGACTATATAAGACAACTGTGTGTTTTCCCAAGGGCATTTTGAGTTTAGGAAAACAGCACTTTAAAAAGTTTGTTAGAAATTTTCCTTTTATTTGAACTTTATATTACAGTATCTGCTTCCTTATTTATATAGACCTTATCTGCTTTTGTTCATATTTCTTTTTGATTTTATGCCGTTTCCTGAGTAAGTTCTGATTTGTAGAGCTGTCAAAATAAATAAATAACCCCCTTCCAACTACTGACCTCCACTAAATACACCCGCTTTTTTTTCCCCCCCCTCTCCTTTACCATCCCATTTTGGGTAGGATTCTCAGCCCTCTCCTCTGGCTTTACTGGCAGCTACTTGCAGCAAAATAGGGACTCCTGGTGAAAATCAAGCAACTGGACAACAGCAAATTATCATAGACCCAAGCCAAGGATTGGTGCAACTTCAAAATCAACCCCAACAGCTAGAACTGGTAACAACGCAACTTGCTGGGAACGCTTGGCAACTTGTTGCCTCTACTCCTCCTGTTTCAAAAGAAAATAACGTTTCTCAACCAGCTTCTAGTTCATCTAGTTCTTCCAGCAGTAATAACGGGAGTGCATCTCCTACAAAAACGAAATCAGGTAATTCTTCCACCCCTGGTCAATTTCAAGTCATACAAGTGCAAAATCCAGGTGGTAGTGTGCAGTACCAAGTGATTCCACAACTTCAGACAGTGGAAGGTCAGCAAATTCAAATCAATCCAACTAGTAGCTCATCTCTACAGGATTTGCAGGGTCAAATTCAGCTCATTTCTGCAGGTAATAACCAAGCTATACTCACAGCTGCTAACAGGACAGCTTCTGGGAATATTATTGCTCAAAACCTGGCAAATCAGACAGTTCCAGTCCAAATTAGACCTGGTGTTTCAATACCACTGCAATTACAGACCCTTCCTGGTACTCAGGCTCAAGTTGTAACAACTCTACCAATTAACATTGGAGGAGTGACTTTAGCTTTGCCAGTGTTAAACAACGTGGCTGCTGGAGGAGGGACTGGACAGGTTGGCCAGCCTGCTACTACTGCTGATAGTGGGACTTCCAATGGGAATCAGTTAGTTTCCACACCCACTACCACCACTGCTTCCACCAGTACTATGCCGGAATCTCCCTCCTCCTCCACTACCTGCACAACCACTGCTTCAACATCTCTGACAAGCAGTGACACATTAGTGAGCTCAGCAGAAACGGGCCAGTATGCAAGCACATCAGCCAGTAGTTCTGAACGCACCATTGAAGACTCTCAGACACCTGCTGCTACTGAGTCTGAAGCCCAGAGTTCCAGTCAGCTTCAGCCTAATGGAATACAGAATGCACAGGAGCAATCAAATTCTCTTCAGCAGGTTCAAATTGTAGGCCAGCCTATCTTACAACAGATCCAGATCCAACAGCCGCAGCAACAGATTATTCAGGCTATTCCACCACAGTCATTTCAACTCCAGTCAGGGCAGACGATTCAGACCATCCAGCAGCAGCCTTTGCAGAATGTTCAACTTCAAGCAGTAAATCCGACTCAGGTGCTTATCAGGGCTCCAACTTTAACACCTTCAGGGCAAATCAGTTGGCAAACTGTACAGGTACAGAATATTCAGAGTCTTTCAAATTTGCAAGTTCAGAATGCTGGGTTATCCCAGCAATTAACCATCACCCCAGTGTCTTCAAGTGGTGGCACAACTCTTGCTCAGATTGCTCCTGTGGCTGTTGCTGGTGCCCCAATAACTTTGAATACTGCCCAGCTTGCTTCAGTGCCTAACCTTCAGACAGTGAGTGTTGCCAACCTGGGTGCTGCAGGCGTTCAAGTGCAGGGAGTTCCAGTTACAATCACTAGTGTTGCAGGTAAGTTATGGCATCTTTTCTCTTTACCTCTTAAATAGTTTTTAATAATGATCAATTACTGCTTTTCTTTGCTAATTTTGAGATTTAACATAAAACTCTGAAGTAAACAGTCATAAGGAGTCAAACAGGAATACTAACAAGCATAACTCAGTGGTAATCAGTGTGACTTGTTCACTTTTGTAGATTTTAGTGTTAGGTTTTACGTGTTACATTTGATTTTAAAAGGTATTGTTTAATAGAATAAAACTTTTGCTTAGAATCATAATTGCCTTTTGTAACCGAGTGATCATATTTGAATACACTTGAGCTCTAAAGAAGGAACCCTATGGCTCGGCGCCTATAGCTCAACCGGCTAAGGCGCCAGCCATGTACACCTAAGGTGGCGGGTTCGAATCCCCAGCCCGGACCCACCAAACAATGACGGCTGCAACCAAAAAATAGCCAGGCGTTGTGGCGGGCGCCTGTGGTCCCAGCTACTTGGGAGGCGGAGGCAGGAGACTTGCTTGAGCCCAGGAGTTGGAGGTTGCTGTGAGTGTGATGCCATGGCACTCTACCCAGGGGGACAGCTTGAGGCTCTGTCTCAAAAAAAAAAAGAAGGAACCCTAGTTGAAATGATAATCTGTCTCTTGAGGGAAAGTAGGTTTAAGCTGAATTGGTATATAGTTGAGAGTCTGTTGAAGTTTAAATTCTAGTGCCTATTAAGGCTAACTTTTTTAAAATTGGAAGTCATATCTCAGCATCTTTTCGCCCATGCTTCTGTGTTTTTATTACACGTAGAGATAAAATTTTAAGTTTTAAATTGTTTGATAAACCTTTTTGTCTACTGTTGTGCTAAAATCAGGATTTGCCCAGGATTTTGAGTTTATGGTCATTTATTTGTAAAGTTATACTTAAGTAAATCTGTGGTCATTATGTTATTTATAGATGCTTACTGTGAGGTGTGTGGAAAGCAATTAAAAATGTAGACAGTAAAATGTCACTAATTTGAATTAATTGTGGCAATAATTTAACCCAGTTATAAAAGCTGTTAGGTCGTACAAATAGATATGTATTTTCAAAGTACTTGGAAAACTCGTCTAATAAGTTTTTAAATCTTTTTGGACCAGTCTTTTTGTACCTAATACCTTTTATTTGCTGTAATTAAATGCTTTTAATTAATTCGGATTTGGTGAAAACCTAGTTATGGTTTTACTGACTGATAATTTTAGACAATGGTAAATATTTCTACTTTGATAATCAAAGATAAATAAGTTTATCACTTTTGAATGCCTTTTCTTGAAACAAGTTGCTGAAAAATTATGCTAAGGTTCTTTTTTTACAGTTAGTATGTATGCATATGTATGTAAAATTGGAAATTGCCAGATAGAACTTTCTGATTCAGGAGAACTGAGGTTAGATTTTTTTTTTTCTCTAGATACCCACTACCTCTACACTAGAACTATCCAGCAGAACTTTGTGTGATGCTAGAAATATTTTCTATCTGTCCTATTACATATGTTAGGCACAATCTGTATGTGGCTGTTGAGTAGTTAAAATGTAGGTAGTGCAACAGAGGAACTGAATTTTTAATTTAATTTTAATTTAAGTAGCAACATGGGGCTAGTGGCTCCCATATTGACAGCACAGTATTCTAACTGATATTTTGAATGTGGCGTTTTTCCCCCCAAAACTGTTATAACACAATTATATAAATGTTTCTCCAGAATAAAATCTTCAATTTACTTTGTGTCTAATTTTTCTAAAAACAAAGATGATAACGGGAATATTTCAGAAAAGTGTATTTTTGGTGAGTTGAATGATAGTTTGCGTTGTCAAAGCAGAAGTTGTTTCACTTACATTTCATCTTGTCTGTTAAGCATTAGTGAGTTGCGATTAAGAGAATCAAGTAACTTATACTTTAGGGTAGAAATAGTCAATTCTGCTCTCTAATTGATATCTTTTAGAATCCAGAGGTTTTTCCTTACACATTGTGAGGGAAAGCAAATGCTTTGGCAAACTCAGATTCACTTGAGTGATGCTTAATAAGCACAAGATCCAGCTTCTGGAACTTTTTAAGTTTTGAGGTGTGGGGTCTAGGAATTTGACTTTCAAATAAACTTTCCAGGTGATTCTAAAACTGACTTAAGTTTGAGAAACAAGGGATCAAGTCATCAGCAATGAATCAGAAGACAGTATGTATGGAAGCAGGTGGGTGTTGAGCTAGTTCTTCATTAGCTCATTTGTTTCGTTAGTGTTAATATGCCTTAGAGCAGTGGTTCTCAATCTTCCTAATGCTACGACCCTTAATACAGTTCCTGTGGGTCGTGGCTGAGAACGGCTGCCTTAGAGGGTAGATTTTGCCAGCAAGTGCGACTTTTTAGTTTTAATTCTACAAATACATATTGAGTGGCTACTATGTGCTGAACACTCCAAAGAGGTGTGATTATTCCTTCATTTTCATGGATAAAAGTTTTTTCACTTAAAGAATTTAAATGATTTGGGGAGCTTCACTTAAGTATATGAGGAAATTTGAATTTTTGAATTTTACATAGTTGAATTTTCTTTTATCTGAAACCAAAGATTTAAAAATTTTATTGATGTTAAAGAATTAATGTTCAGGCTTGGTTGCCTGTGGCTCAAGTGGCTAAGGCACCAGCCACATACACCTGAGCTGGAGAGTTTGAATCCAGCCTGGGCCCACCAAACAACAATGATGGCTGCGACCAAAAAAAAGCCAGGCATTGTGGTGGGCGCCTCTAGTCCCAGCTACTTGGGAGGTGGAGGCAGGAGACTCGCTTGAGCCCAGGAGATGGAGGTTGCGGTGGGCTGTGCTGCCATGGCACTCTACCCAGGGGGATAGCTTGAGGCACTGTCTCAAAAAAGAAAAAAAAAAAAAAGAATGTTCAAATAAATATGTTCAATCGTTTTTAAATATATCCTGATTTGTATAAGACAACACAGTTATCTAGGCCTATTTGGGGATTTCACCCTGTTGCCTAGTGTAGTAGGTGCTTGAGAAATGCTTTTTTTTTTTGAGACAGAGTCTTACTTTATCACCTTCAGTAGAGTGCTATGGCATCATAGCTCACAGCAACCTCCAGCTCTTGAGCTTAGGTGATTTTCTTGCCTCAGCCTCCAAAGTAGCTGGGACTACAGGCGCCTGCCTCAACACACGACTATTTTTTGTTGCAGTTTGGTGAGGGTTGGGTTTGAACCTGCCACCCTCGGTATGTGGGGGCAACACGGAACCCACTGAGCCGCAGGCGCTGCCCAAGAAATGCTTTTTGAATGAAAGTATAAAAAGGTAGTGGAGAAAATAGAGGAGTTTGGAATGGGTCCCTCAGACCCACACCTTGGAGTGGTGTTAATGAAGCTAATTAAACAGCTCTGTTTTCATTAATTTCTTTCAGCTTTATGTTTTTAAGAACAGAGTGGGATACCAGGTACTTCATTGTCTTGAGAAAGGGGAGAATGAATAGTAATGACCTATAGGTCCCTTTCTATGATACCCCTTCTATACCTGCAAGTTTCCATGTTTTACTTTGTCTCCCCATTCACTTTTAAGTACTACTTTGGTTATTTCACGTATTTGGTATTGTTTCATTGATGGAAAAAATTTTGCTCTAAAAATTCATGACAGCTATTATCGAGGTTTGAAAAAAGTATTTGCTTCAACAGAATGTAATGACTTAGTCAAGGACAAAGGAAAGTCTACTGTCCATCCTCATTTTACTCTTCAGGATGTAAGGGAATCTAGATGATGTGGACAGAGAAGGAAAAGATCATTCAGGCAACTGTATCATACAGGAAACTAGTTACTGAAGGTGGGTAGTTTCATACTTAGTTTTTTGTTTGTTTGTTTGTTTTGTTTTTGAGACAGCTTCAAGCTGTTGCCCTGGGTAGAGTGCTGTGGCCTCACAGCTCACAGCATCCTCCAACTCATGGGCTTAAGCGATTCTCTTGCCTCAGCCTCCTAAGTAGCTGGGATTACAGGTGCCTGCCACAATGCCTGGCTGTTTTTTGGTTGTAGATGTCGTTGTTTGGCAGGCCTGGGTTGGATTCAAACTCACCAGCTCCAGTGTATGTGGCTGGCGCCTTAGCCACTGAGCTACAGGTGCTGAGCCTATTTATTTGACAAGTGACAAACTCTCACTTGTCACCCTTGGTAGAGTGCCATGGCGTCATAGCTCACAGCAACCTCAACATCTCGTGCTCAAGTGATTCTCTTGCCTCAGCCTCCTGAGTAGCTGGGACTACAGGTGCCTGCCACAACGCCCAGCTATTTTTGTTGTTGTTGTAGTTGTCATTGTTTGGCAGGCCCAGGCTGGGCTTGAACCTGCCAGCCCCAGTATACCTAGCCGGTGAGCTATAGGCACAAAGCCCAGTTGTAATTTTTTGGTATTATTGCTAAAATCTATTTATAAAGGCATTTTGTGTGTGAGTGTATATGTGTTTGTCATTGTTGGGGATGCATTGACGGGCATGTTGTGTTTTTATAGTTTTGAGTGAAATCAGAAATAAGAGTTGGCTCGGCGCCTGTGGCTCAAGTGGCTAAGGCGCCAGCCACATACACCTGAGCTGGCAGGTTCGAATCCAGCCTGGGCCTGCCACACAACAATGATGGCTGCCACCAAAAAATAGCCAAGCTTTGTGGCGGGCACCTGTGGTCCCAGCTACTTGGGAGGTGGAGGCAGAAGACTCGCTTGAGCCCAGGAGTTGGAGGTTGCTGTGAGCTGTGATGGCACAGCACTCTGTACCCAGGGGGACAGCTTGAGGCTCTGTCTCAAAAAAGAAAGAAATAAGGGTGAAAGGTTCTGTAGTACTACATTAAGTACTTTAGGATGATGCCTTAAAGATTGACAGTAAAAGGAGGAATCTGACCTGGTACCAGACCATATACATGTTCTTCTGTACTCCTGGTCTAAGTATGAGATAAGATTGGATGTTCGTAATGCTTGTCATTTTGCTACCTAGTGAATCAGCAAATTGCAGCAGAGGAAACCTGTTGAACCACAAATTGC